TATCCCCAAGCCATAACATCCCAAAGGAAAAAGATAGAATTGGCAAAGAATATTGTAAATGGCATAATTCATTTGGACATTCAACTAATAATTATGTAACTTTTCAAAATTGTTTGCTGGACTTGATTTAGAAAGGAATGCTAAAATATGCTAAGAAGGACAAATGAGTCATGGCTGTCAATGGGAATCCTTTTCTAGAAGTGGTGGACATAAACATGGTGTCTACCAGGCTAAATGATCAAACCAAGAATCCAAGGGTGTTACTGAGTGAGCTGGAAAGAATTCTTAACCTGAGAAAAGAACTTTTGGCTGAAGGAAAGAAGCCAATGGTCTCGGCCCTCCAAAACCATAATCAACACAATCCATGATATTCCCAAACACACTGAAATATCAACAACAAACTTTGCTCTACTAGCTATGCGCATAGTAAGCCAAAGATACACCTCTCATAACAACATGCCAGTTTACCAGGCGCTAGCTGGAAGGGTATGGTACCTTAGATTCTCAGCGCATTCAGTTCTTCAGGCGCTAGCTGGAAGGTCACGGTACCTCTGATTCTCAGCTCAAGGTATAACACCATCAATCGAAATGCAGCAGGGCATAACCAACATGTACAACATATATACATAAACCATCCAGATACAAACAATGTGTAAAACATTTTGGAAGAAGAATTTAAATATTTAATATTCCTTCCATATGATTTTAATTCAAACACTTTGATTGAAAGAAGAGCAAAATTTTTGGAGGGATATCAAATTTTAAGTTTCCCTCCAATAAATTTGATTGAATCCCAATAGATTTCTTGAGTTTTTTTGGAAGAATTTTTTTCTTATAAATAGATAGAGGCTTTCACAATAATTTCAAGCTCTCAATGGGATTCCTCACAAGAGGAGACCCTTAAAAGAGAGTTTCCAATTAAATTTTTATTATATATATATAATAAGAAAGAAAGAAAGAAAGAATAAAAAAAAGAAAAAAACACAAAAAATTCTTTTTAAAACCCGGTGAACCGGAACCGGTTCGGCGGTTCAACCGCCGATTTTTCCTGTTCTCTCAAAATAGGTCGGTTTTCTACTACGATCGGTTTAGTGGGTGTACCCGGACCGGAACCTTGACCGGTCGGCGGTTCAACCGGTTGAACCTGTCGGTCCAATCCGATTTTTAAAACCATGGTTTGGGGTTCGAAATTCCAGTGTCGAACAGTTCGGAAACTCAATCATGCGCATACAAATTTCATGGCAATGAAAAAAACTACCTAAGACCCTAAAATCTGAGCCAAATGAGAACTCGCCTACTGTATCTCCAATGTGAGTTGTTTCCAACTGTGTTGAGCACCAACGATGACGTCTTTGATGAGGAAAAAAGTGTATTCAGCAAATGGGTCTTCACCGTTTGACCAGATAATGGAGGGAGAGATGGAATATCGTGGGTGGGTAAGGTGTGTGAGTGAGGGTAGAGATGGAAGATTGTGGATAGATTTTGGGTGGGGTGTGTGAGTGAGTGAGTGAGTGAGGGTAAAGGTAGAAGGTTGTAGTGTGTATTGAGCAAAATATTAATTTATTAAATTATTATAGGTATGCCTTGAGTAATGGTTTGCCTTGGAATAAAATGTGGTGTGTGAATAGAGACACTCCATTTTAAGGTTTTCAAATGTCAAAAATACCCTTTCAATAAGTGCAAAGACAAAATTACGAAATTACTCTTCCCTATACCCACAACCACCCAACCAAACACTTTGGTAGCGTTTGGTTTATTTTTTAAAATTCAATTCTATTTTTAAATTATGGTTTGGATAAAACATGTTAACTAAACATACTTTTTAAGTACAATTCAAAATTATTTTCAAAATTCTTCTCTTTTCTTTTTTTATTTTATTACTCCTTCCGTCTCAAAATAATAGTTCATTTTGTAAAATCTAATTTTTCTTTGTACTACAATTATTGCACTTTAAAAATATTAATTTTTCAAAATTATCCTTTGATTGTACATGTTTTTGGAAATATCAATTGTTATAATTATACTTTTTGTGTTGTTAATGAATTTTAAAGAAGGACAAAATAGGAAATTCATATTATTTTAGTCCTTGATTTTTGAAAATGGACTAATATTTTGGAACAATGAAAAATAGAATAAGAGCATTCACAATGGATGTATTATTGTATTTGTTAGTGTTAGCTGCCAATTTTTGGCCAGCTAAAAATAATGTATTGTGCTGTAATGGAATTGCTAAGGGGTGTATTAGTGTCAGTTGTTAATTTGTTTGCTAACAGTAGCGAGCCTACTAGCCAGTGCGCACGCCCGCGCGCGCGCAAGAGAGAAAGAGAGAGAGAGGGAGAGAGGAGGAGGACACTGGTCGTCTGATCGAACGTCCGGACCCTTGCTGTTCTACATTGGTTTGAAAGAGAGAGACGGAGCTCTAAATCTTGTTTGTGAGAGAGACGATCGTTGCAGTGTCAATTTGAGAAAGAAATACTAAGTGCGGAATCTCGTTTGAAAGAGACGAAACATGGTGAAACATGCTCGTTTTTAGCCTCTGAATGCATTTGTGAATGCAGAGCTCTGTTTCTCAACATAGCTTGTGAATTGGGTTGTGAGAAATTGTTAAAACATGGTCATATATATATATATATTCTTAACTGAGAAGAAGAGCTGTAGGTTTGAAAGCTATTTATTTATTTTATTTATTATATATATATACACTTAACACACATCTTAACACGCACCTTAACACATTCATTACACCATCACTCACTCTCTAAAATTAACAAACTCTTAACATATCTTAACACACATTTGTAGGCCTCACTTTTATCATTTTTTGTCATATAACACACTTTAAAAAATAATTTTAGCCATCCCATTGTGGATGCTCTAAAGGACTAATATTTTGGAACGGATAGAGTATTATTAATCGAATAAAGCTTGGGACCCCCAGTGGGGGTGCTGGGGGTCCTTTGTGATTGGTTGAAAAAACTTTTTTTTTTTTTTTTTTTTTTTCTTTGTTTTTGGCCATTGGCAGCCTCCCATGTGGCACTGGGGTGCTGGGGGTGCCAAAATGCTGGGGTCTCTAGCATTTCCGTTATTAATCGATCAATCAATCACTTTTTCTCTCTTATCTCTCCTCTCATATTCTCTCACATTCTATACATCAATTAATAAAAATAAATAAAAAAATTACAAATCATCTCAAAATTATTTTCAAAACTCATAACTAAATAAATTTTCTCTTTTTAAATCATAATTTAAAAAGGGAATTGACCCATAAATCCTAAAAGATGGGATTGTAATATAATCAGTCCCATATTTAATTTTGTACACCCAAAGGTCTCATTATTTGGAGGTGGACAATTTTGCCCATGGACTTACTATTTTGGATTTGGTGATATTATGTTTGAATGATGTGGGTGTATGTAACGTTTGGAAAAAGCTTACTATAGTTTTTTTATGATGTGGGTGTATGTAACGTTTGGAAAAACATTTATGATGTGGGTGTATGTAACATTTATGATGTGAGTGTATGTAATGTTTGGGAAAAGCTTACTATAGCTTTTTTATGACGTGGTTGCATATAACGTTTGGAAAAACATTTATAATGTGGGTGTATGTAATGTTTGGAAAAAGCTTATTATAGCTTTTTTATGATATGGGTGTATGTAACGTTTAGGAAAACATTTATGATATGGGTGTATGTAACGTTTAGAAAAAGTTTACTATAATTTTTTTATGATATGGGTGTATGTAATGTTTGGGAAAAGTACATTTATGATGTGGGTGTATGTAACGTTTGGGAAAAGCTTACTATAGCTTTTTTATGATGTGGGTGTATGTAACATTTGAAAAAAGTACATTTATGATGTGGATGTATGTAACGTTTGAGAAAAGCTTACTATAGTTTTTTCTGGGTTTAGTAGCGTATGTAGGGGTGCCCACGTTATTTATGACCCACACGTTTCAACCACAAAAAAAAAAGGTACATTAGTCAGAAAAACCATTCCATAATTACATAATGGGATCCTTTGGATCACATTACAAAAAAAATAGGACTTGGACGTCTATTAATTTTAAAATGGGACTTGGTAGACTACAACTCTCCAAAATGAAAGTTTCCAATAATTTTCCCATTTAAAAATTCAAAATTCAAAACTCAAAATACAATTTCATACTCAAATCATAATTTTAAAACTAAACCAAACGGCCCTTTCTTTTTCTTCTAACCATCCCTCCATCCCCAAACTCACTGTCATGTGCAACAAGTCACAACAACCAACCCCCATAAACAGGGTCACCTTCCAATTAAATTTGTGTAGTCCAAACAACACACAATCTCTAGACTCCATATCTCATTTCCTCTGCGGTCCCAAAATCCTCACCTGATTTGGGTACAAATACAACTTTCAACAATAATTTTCTACTTCATTTTCTTGCTATGTTGTTCTCTATGTGACTTTCTTATTTCTATCAGTACGTAATATGGTACCTCTGTTCCAAGGGATGGTACCCTTAAATTTTTTTCTTCTTCTTTCTATTCATTGTAGTGGAAGGACATGTATACCCCTCCTTTTATGCTTACCAGGATCTTCCATAGAAATAACATTCGACCTATCCCTACAGAGTAAATCTTCAATAATCGCAGTTACTTTACAAATCACGTTTATCAATTAAGACCAAACGCAATGCCATGAGTAGTTGAACTTAAAATGTCTGGTTGACGATTCATCCCCAACCCATTTTATCATTATGGTATGAAATGTGAAAATTAGTATCCTATGCTACTTCCAGATCTCACTCATCATTTTTGGAATTGGAAGATTGTAAAAGTTGAGACAATTCTCTAACTGGGAAAGTTTTCAAGCCATTTGCCCCTTTTGCATCATTTGGGTAGGCCCAAGGAAAACTAACACCCATCATTTGAGTAAATTTTTTATTTTTGGTTTTTGGTTTTGCACATGAGATAATAATTACAAAAGCGAAAGTAAAAAAATAAAACTGAGGGAGCATTTAGTAATAGATTCATAACATTTAGCCACATTGCACAACCAAGAGGACAAGTTTGCTTCCATTGACAATGACAAAGCCAAAAATAAAGGGGATTAAAAGTAAAAAAGGACCACACTGCTATGCATCATTCTGTATATATAACCAAAGTTTTTCATAACTCGAGTTTGACATTCACAATATATATCTTGTATATGACTCAACAAAGCTGAAAAGCACAAGAAGAAAAACAACTCTCAGAACCATCATTCAGTTCCTATAATAGATAACCCAAAACCCAACACAATATGATTATGTAGGACTAAAAGACTGATAGGGGCAGATGAGAAGACAAAAGAAGGTGGTTAGAAGGAGTTTGAGAGACTGACAAAACAAGGTAAAGGAAGAAAGAAAGAAGCCGACAACGCTTCCGCACCTGCTCCTAGAATGGCAATTGTTTCTTTCAATTGAAGCAGGCCGAGGTTGCGCAACAATGGCGAAAGGACAATGTGGAATGAGGGTAATTTTGCATGATAAATGATGACTCGTGTAAAAATGTACACTTGCCAAAATTAAGAAAACACATGGGACCTGGGAGAAACAATGGTGGAATATAGATAGATATATGGAGCAGAGCTGTGTAATAGTAAAATTGGAAGCCTAACCATAATTTTTTTTTCAATAAAAAGATTAAATTAAAAATAGACTCTTTTCCTTCTTTCGATATAATTTGACTGAGTGCTAGCACTGGTGGCCTCTGCGGCAGCCAAGAACACCGGCACCAGAAGTAATGGAGCCAACCATGGAGGAAGACTTGGCTCCAAGGCTTGAAGCTCTAGCATAGCTGGCTGAGGCACCGGCCCCGGATGGAGTGAAATAGGCCCCATTAAGCAACAAGTCACCCTCCGATCTCCAATTCCAACCCTTCCATTGACTTGCAGCAGTGTCCACCCTTTTTGTCACCTGCCCAAACCAACGAATCATCAACAATTAGAACAATCCAATATGTCAACTTCAATGGAAAGTGAATTTTTCACATTCATCCATGAGAGGTGAAAACAAATGGGGAACAAGAAAGACACAGCAAGTGAGGACTTAGGATGTTTGCTGAACAATACCTCCTTTGCAAATGGATTGGTTGGAGCAAGGTATCGGTTACCCTGGCTGTTGATAGTGGGTTCAGCACTTCCACCAATGGCATACATTTCCCAGTGGGTGTAGTCATTGTTCACCACATGAAAATACCCATGCCTACACCTGAATTTTTCCATAAACCATTTTCACCTCAGATGCAATGAAGACAAATCCAAAATAAAAGACCAAATTCTTCTATCTGTCAGCAAAACCTCACTTGAAAAGCTGAAATTTAGTCCCTGATTTTGCCATTGCTTTCATAAACTTACAGATTGTGAAAACGTAGTTCCATCACCTAATTTTTATGCCTGGATAAATTTGTATTTAAACAATGCCATAGAAAATGAAAAGTACAATTAATATATTACCTTGGCATTCTCTGGATAAGACCCTCTCCAAAGTGGTTGTAGGCAATAGTGACTTGCATCTGCTTGTCTCTTACATAGGAATCACTATGACCCAACAGCATAACCTTTTTTTATTACACAAAAAACAGATATTAGTGTTTCCAAGAAAAACAAAGAACCAAGTTAAACCAGAATTAAAGAGGGATTTTGCAGTGAACCCACCTCATTGTGGTGGGTGAAGTAGTTGTTGGAAATGGTAATGGCGGTTGAACCCATGACAGCATCAACAAGGCCATCAGCACAGTTAGAGAGTGAATTGTGATCAACCCATATATGGCTTGACCCAAAAATGGAGACAGCATCGCCATCAGCTATTGTCCTCCAACCAAAATGGCTCGGTGAGCTCCTCACCATGGCATTCCCTGTGGGCTTGCAGTCATGGATATGAAGACCATGAATTATGACATTGGTAATGAACTGGATTGTAATGCAAGCTCCATTGGCAATGTGGACATTGGCTCCACGGCCATCAATTGTCTTGAAGCTGTTCATGATGAGCTCTTGCTTCAGTTGTATCACCATGTCGCGCTTGAACACAATCCAGAGAGGTTCTTCTTGAATGACAGCGTGGCGCAAAGTGCCAGGTCGGGGGTTTACAGGGTCATCATCACCTGGGTCAGTGACAACATAGAAGCGGCCATCGCGACCCCCAATGGCATTCCGGCCAAAACCAATGCCACAGTCAGCAAGGCGCTTGCGGTTCTGCTGCCAGTTAGGGTCGCAACGCCAGCAGTCATCAATAGGATTGCCAGTTCCACATGAGAAATATCCCAAATTCCTCCTCTCGGTGCTGTTCTTAATGCTCCTGCTCAATCAAAAGGATTGTCAATAGAGTTTAACATCATTGTCACTTGCAGCTATTTTATGTCATAATACAAGCATACACTGGTTCACAATATGATAATTTTTTAGTGTCATAAAGTCCAAAATATATAGAATTGAATTGAACTATTCTTCCTATTTGTTTTCCTAGATCAAGTTGGGAAATTTTGTGGTGTGCATTCCTAAAAGACGAATGATGCAAAAATAAAGCTATAGTTCAACGTGACAATATAGTTTGGTTATGATGTGATTTGAAATTGTATCAAAATAGCAAAAATTACCAAGTCATAATCAAACCCTAATTCGTAAATATTAAAGATGCACATACTGACCCTAGCAAGTTATACATGGATAAGAATGAAAGACTATTTGCCATGGTGTGTCGGTGGAAGTAATTTTTCTCCCTCCCTCTGTCCTCTTAAATACCTATCACTTTCATTGTAAAATGTCAAAAACCCTATTCTAGTGATCTGTGTGTGGATGGCACAACGGAATTGTGTGTTTTGTCATTTTGGAAGGGTAATTTGGTCATTTTCATGTTGGATTTTAGTTTTGGGATAGAGACAGGCAGAAGCAAGGTTGGGTTGGAGGTACTTTTGCTACTTTAGCAACCACATGGGAGGAGCTGTCACTTGAAAAAGATAGGAAAGGTAAGCACACAACACCAAATACTTTAATTAGCATTGAATATGATCATATAATATCTTAGATTGCTCATACAAATCATACTGTTTAGGCAAGTCTGGTACTTTTTGTTACATGTGCACATGCATTAGACCTACATACATACAGTAAAATGTAGACTTTACAGTTGCAATGTAAAATGCATAGACCTATACGATAAACAAAGGCAATTTAGAATTGGACACCCCTGTTACTGCAAGCGCTGAATTACCAATCAATTGAGATAGTTCAATTGATTAAAACCTTTGTAGTTTGTTGAAAGGACAAAGATTCAAATCTTTATTTTTGACGAGCTTTCTCTACCTCAAAATACAACTTTTGATATGCTAAAAAAATCTATTGAATTATATCCCTTTTCTCCAATTGACAAAGTGTCAAAACTTGTGTATATGTCGTCAACCTAACATTAAACAATATGAATAGTTTTTTTTGGTCAAATATCTTTGTACTTAATAAAGTCAATGATTTGATTCTATTAAGACTTGTATAAACATCAACTTAATATTAAACACCAAAAATAATATATTTCGGCAAGAAACTTTATACTTTATTAAAAAATTAATGATTCAACCCTCCATTCATTCATTGGAATGTTTTTCCATCACATGACTATTTGTTGATCTTTATTTTAGAATAGATTTTCATTATATTTGTTATTTATATCTTATTAAAAAAATTTGAAAAATAAAAACTACAAATATGGGTTAATAGGTTTTAAGTCAGTGTCGGTTTGGTAGGGTCAGATATTCAAATATAGTAAGCTTTCGTTTGAGATATAGGTCATGTTTGATAGGACTTATTTCTAACTTATTTCAATTTTTATCTTAATTTAAGTTATTTTGATATGTTTGGTTCAGCTTAACAATACAACTTATAATTTTTTGTAAGTCAAAAATCAACTTATTCTTTGAGTGGGGGAGGAGAAGCTTAATTTATAAGTCAAAAATCAGCTTATGTTCACAGTTATAAGCTATAAATTGTTAAGGTATAAGCTATAATCACTTTCCCACAATTCTACCAAACGGGGCCATAGATTGGCTTTTTAACTTTTGAGTTTTTTTGACTATTTTAGAGGTTGCTTGGGATAATGATCTAAATAAATGTAATTTTTGACTTTTTATGAAATATGGGTTGGGTATGAGTTGGGTTTGAAGTGATGTGATAGAGAGGTGATGTGACTTAAATAGGATAGCAACTTTTTGACTTTTTGACTTTTTTAGGTTATGACAAACAAGGCCTAAGTCTGGGGTTAAAAAGTCTCGTTTGAGATAGATTTTTTGATTCTTTTTATTTCCATGAGAGAAAAAATGAAATAATTATGGTTTGAATGTGACATTTTTGTTTTATTAACTTTTTAGTCTATTTTGTCATTTTGTGACTAAAATAGCCAAAAAAAATTATCCCAAACATAGCCTAAGACTTTGTTAGGAAAGAATTTTTTTAACTTAATTTTTTGACTTTTTGATTATTTTAATCTAACAAAAAAGTTCAATTTAGAATAAATTTTTAATTTTTTTTATAATTTTGTAAAAAAAAAATAATTATAATTTAAATATGATATTATATCTTATTAACTTTTAATCTATTTTATTTGCAGTACACTAAACCATCTATCAAACGAAGGATAAGTGAAAAGTACCAGACCAAAATCTACCATAACCACCAAAACTCCACCATTATCAATGTATACCATAGCTTTACAGTAATGTGTTCTGTAATCAAATTAACATAGATTAATTTGAGAGAGAGAGAGAGAGAGTGACCCACATCTCAACCATAGAGGCAACCTCCTCTGGGTTGTCCACTGCATGCTCATTCAAAGCTCCAACCTCTTCCAACCTAAAACAACAGGAACCCATTAAATTCACCACAACCAAAAATCAACCAGAACTGAACAAAAATCAATTGAACCCAGAATCAATAAACAGACTCTGACCATCAGAGCCGTTGATCAACCGACAACGCTAGTACGCTACACAATTTTTGTACAATCAACACCACTTTCTGCTGATTCCACAGTGTGAACCCATTATGGGTAAACACAAAAGAAACCTTCGCAGCAGGGTCATTACAGTAATTTACACCACATGAACCGACAATTATCCAATAAAGCTGCGAGTAGAGGAAATAAAGGTGGACTGGACACGAAGTACGCTGCAATGGCGACTGTGTAGAGAGAGAGAGAGAGAGAGAGAGAGATAGTACAGTGCTCAAGGTCTAGGGCACGCCAATCGTGCACCGTTAAAACCGTAGAAAGTGATTGGAGAGAGAGAAAATGGAAAAAGCAAATAAGAAACCAACCGAAAACTGCTAATTCTAGAGAGAGAAAACTCTAGAGAGAGGGGGGCGGGCGAATCGAATCGTCGGTGGGAAATTTCGCCAATTTGTACTCGCAGAGTGAATGACAGAACTAACCTCCTGCAAATTGTTTTGTTTATGAACGGTGGTCTAGTAATTAAGTTGTTTTTGCAGGGTAATTATGGAAATTAAGAAGGAATAAACAAGATAACAGATTAAACGGTGCTGATCGAAGGGAACATGGGATCTTAACGACTGAGATTGTTCGGGGGGTTTTGGATGGTATGGTAACAACAGATCTAACAGTGGAAGATTCGTGGAGACACAGAAATGGACGGCTGTGAATTAAAGAAAATGTAATGAAGCAATAACGTTAGAGAACAAGCTAAGGTGGTACAGAGTCTAGTGAGAGAGTAGTGGTGGTGGTACTGACCTTGTCGCCGCTATTGATGAGTCGTTCGAGCTCTGCAACTTCTCTGTTTCAACATTCCTGTAAATAGAATCAACAAATGTGTAGGTTTAAGGTCAATTCAACACCATTAAAATCTCCTTTTTCTCTCTCTACAATGCTCTAATTTCGTAGGGTTGGAGAAACAGAGTGGTCCTGAGTCTCAGAAAAACGAAAATGTACAGCGAACACTCAAAGCGGACTTTTAATGGAAGCGCCGATAAAAGTAAATGCAGAAAAGCAAATCTGTAATTCAAAATCGATTTCGCTCCAAAATCACCACAAATGCAGAGAGAATCAAATTCAGAACCAAAATGTCACAAAAAATAATGAATTTCTAACTCAAAAAATCCCCAAAAACAGAGAGAGAAGGGGGTTTGATTCTAAGAATTGTGTACATACACGGAGGCAGAGACGTCGTCGTTTGGTACTCTCGCCATAGCTCCGACGAAGAGCGCAAGAAGAAGCAACGAGCACAGAGAAACCCACTTGGTGGAGACCGCCATTGCCATTCTCATTCCCTCTCTCTCTCTCTCTAGGTTCTGTCTCTATGTCTCTCCTCAGTTTGTTTCTTTAAGTGGAGCTGAAAGAAAGAGGAAGAAGAAAAGCAGAGAATGACGAAGCTCCCTCGTAAACCCTTTATAGACGAATTAAAAAAGAGAACGTTAAGCGGGCCGTTAACTATAGACAAACGGTATGACCATGGTTAGGTTACAATTAACGAAAAAACATTTGACCCTGGTTAGGTTAACATTAGCTAAACCTTTTCACTAAAGTTAACCACCTCACTAACTGCCACTAACTGGTCTCACATTCTCTCTCTCTCTCTACGTTGCGACGTTGGGGTTGTATCACGTGCAAGGTTTTAGAATTGCCCCTATAAGTGTAAGAAATTACGGTAATGACACTCAATAACTTTTAACAGAGGAAGGTTCATTAATTACTGGTGTGTACGACCAGAAGCGGAGGGAAGAGAGAGAGAGAGAGAGAGCGAAGGAGTACGGAAATTCCGAAGGAAGGGTGGTGGGGATAAAAATATTCAAATGGGATTTGTAGATTCCGTGTAAAATGTTTTCCGGGGTCCCCGAAATTATCGATATATATATATATTATATATTATATAATTTATATAATATATTAAATTCAATTCGGGTTCGGGTTGCTCGGGTTGGCCATTGGTTCTGCCCAAGCCCGGCCCGAATTGCAATTCGGGCATCAAAATTTTGCCCAAGCCCGTCCAGATTGCAAGATATAGTTGCCCAAGCCCTAAACAAACTCGGGCTGGGCTCGGGTTGCTCGGGTTGAGCCCGCCCGAGTTGCACCCCTATTGAGGATTAGTGCCAACCAAACGGATTTTGAAACCCCAAAAATAAATAAAAATAAATAACATAGCATAGTTAAAATCTGCTTTATACACGGACAAATAATAAAATGTGATAAATAATATTAAATATATTAAAAATTAATTAAATATTATAATATTAATTTAGATAATTATTTAAATAATATATTTGAGTGATTACATTATTGGTGGTGTTTGTTTTGAAACGATTAAGTCATATGATGGGATTCATAATCTATTCAGACTAATAGTCCATTGTTTGATTTAAAATTTTTACTTCAAACTATTAGTCTCAAATGTATTGGACTATTGTATCTCATGGGGGTAGGACACAAATGAGAGGATTTGAGATTAGGTAATGAAATGATCATTTTAACCCTCTACTATTTAAATATGTATTATATTTAGTGAAATTCAATAAAATTTAAATGTCTCAATTTAAAAATAAAATAATTTTATTTAATTTTTATTGATATTTTATTTATTTAATTTTTTAAAATAATTTTTTATAGATGTTTTATTGATGTTTTATTTTAATTTTTTTTATATTTTATATAATTTCATTACTTAAATTTTAATAGATGTGTTATTTAATTTCATTATTTAATTATTATTATTTTTTTAAAGTAAATTTATTTAAAATTTTAATTAAAAAAATAACATATATTTTTATTGATATTTAATTTATTTAATTTTTAAAAAATAAATTATTTAATTGTGTAAAAAATAAAATAAAATAAATTTTTATTTAATCTAGCTAAAAATAATTAAATATATTAAATATATGTTTAATATCGCTATTACTTAGTAAATAATTGAAAATGATATAATAGTCATTTGAGCATTTATCATTCTCCATAATATCCCAAACAAACATAGAATTCATATCATATTCAACCAAATAGTCATTTCCTGACATCTAATCTCATAACTAAACAAATATGGGATACATATTCTATTCAATCAAATAGTCTCAGGACTATGAATCCTAGGATTACAATCCGATGAATTTCAATCCCCCCTATCCAATCCGTCCAAACAAACACACCCTATGTTTATATAAATATGCAGGACTAATTAATTTTTTTTGAAATACACTCAATCAAATAAACACAATTGAAAAGGAAGTGTAAGAGTTGAATTCTATAAATATAAGATAAAGATTAAAAAAAATTTAAAAAATTAAGTTTAAATTTGAAGATGAATATAGAAAGAGAAATTAGATAAATTTTTGAAAAAAAATAAACTCAACTGAAAATCAAGAGCCAGAGTGGATCCTGTAAATATAAGATAAAAATAAATAAATAAAAAATCGAATTTAAATTTGAGGATGAACTACAAGAATATAGAAAGAGAAAATTAAATACATTCTAAAAAATTGAAGTAGAGAGAAATTCAATAAACATCAAATGAAAATTGAAAAAAAGAAATAAGTTGAAATTTAAAAACTCAAAAATAAAATAAGATAAACTTGAAAAAAATATATAATATAACTATAATAATAGAATAACAGAAGACGTTAATAGTTTAAAATTAGATAAGAGTGAAATGTCAACTTTTTAAAATTTATAATTTAAAAAAAAAATTCAAAAATAAAAACTGAGGTGTAGTAAGTTAAAAATTAGATAAGAGTTAAATGGCAACTATAATTTTTTAAAATTTAAATTTTCTGTAGTTAAAAAATAAGCATTTATGATATCTTATTATACAAATTTTAATTTTATTTTGTGTCTACTATTAATAATTTTAAACAATTTTTTTTTTATTCTAAAGCTACTTAATTAAAAAAAAATCAATGAATCACCTTTTTATTTCTTAATTTTGTTTTGTGTCAATAATCTATAAATTTCAACAATTTTTGTATTTTGAAGCAACTAAATAAAAAAAAAATAGTATCACTTTTCTTTTTAAAATTTTAGTTAGTTTCATTTTAATTTTGTTTGTGTCAATAACCTATAAATTTAGCAATTTTTGTATTCTAAAGGTACTAAATAAAAATAAAAAAACGCCACTTTTCTTTTTAAAATCTTAGTTAGTTTTATTTTTACTTTGTGTTAATGTAAAGTGGCATTGGTAGTGCTATGCATGAATATAAATAAATAATCAAAAATTAGTTTTAAAATTAAATAATAATAATGATATAAAATTTATCAAAAATATGTAGTAAAAATGATTTATAATCAATTAAATTTTATTCATTTTTATCAAAGTTACACATAAATAACTTGTGTATTATTTATGCCAACGTGACCTTCATCTAATCATTATATTGGTCTATGCCCAACTTATGAATCATTTGACCTATTTATTTATTAAATTGGTAAATAAATATCTATAAGTATTTTTTATTTTTTAAATAAGAAATATGAACATATTTTATGCATATCTATTAAAAAAATTTGAGCTTAGGTAAAAAAATTATATATTTATGTTAAACACTATGAAAAAAATAGTTACATATATTTATATATTAAAAAATTATCTAAGATAAAGCCGTCATAAATTATGTATCATATTTTAGTTTTAATCTTAGTAAAAATATTTGATAATAATAAATTTAAACATTATGTATAAATTATATAATAATTTACAGATTCATGATCAGTATGAGTTAGTTTGGGGGTTCTAATATTAGATTAAACATTCAATGGGCCAATGTTTGGGACCCGTTTGGATGATTCGAACGTTCACATTTTAAGATTCATCGGGTATATCCCTGCAAAAAAATCAAGTCGATCAGATAACAAAAATCACGGGTTTGGACCAATTTTGTATGAACCGTTCATTTTCTCACCATCTATTTTTTTCATACTATAGACATCCCATTTTTGACCGACCTTAAGACTCAGACGTTATCGATTGAGCACTCGGTGATAGTGCATGTTGTGCTCGTTTCGAGCTTCAGAGTTTTGGCTGAGAGCCTTGCCTCCAGGTCTCCGAACTCTTTGTGATTTGGCTCGGTTTGTGGACCAAACCTTGTTTTCTCTTCCCGGAGGAAGGGAGAGGTCTTGTAGACCATCTCTTTGTGGTCGTAGACCACTTTTCGCAGCCGTAGACCACTTTTTTCCGTTTGGAGATCAGTTTCCGGTTTTCGAAGCCTTCGGCCGTGCGTCTTGTCTCGGTACCGCTTAACGTTCTCCGTTTGGCGTGGTTTTTGAACCACACTTTGTTTCCTCTATCTAGAAGGGCACTGTGGTCTGGGAGACCACTTTTGTGGTCGTATACCACTTTGGTGCTCAACAGTTAGGTTTCGAGGCTCCCAGCTGCGCGCTTTGCCTCCCGAACTCTCGTTTTGCATCCGTATTGGTTTATTTTTGGTACAAACCTTGTTTTCCTTGCTTGGAAAAGTGGTACGAGGGTGGGAGACCAGTTTTTTCCCTTGGAGACCACTTTCCTTCCCACCAGTCGATTTTCTGGTCAGAAACTAATTTTCTTGGTCTTTGGGCCACATTTTCTGGTCTCCCACCCCACCATTGGCTTATTTTCAGTGTGGAGACCACCAATTCCCCCTACCGACCACTTTTTTTTCCTGGGAGACCACTTGAAATGGTCAGTCGACCACTACAAGTAGTAGGGCGACCACTTTAAGTGGTCGGCAGCTCTCCCCCTGTTTTGGCAAACTATGTGGATGCCAGCTGTGCCAGCTGGAGGGCACAGACTGTATCCTCCATACACGTGTATGGAGGGATGACATCCAAGTTTTAGCTTCTCCAAGAAGCTTGAACCTTTGTTTTTCTATAAGAGAGGCTTTCCCTCTCCATGGCAAAGGTTCTAAAAAATTTTCCTAAGGCATAAGCATATATCTCTCTATATCTCTATATTTGGTACCTAAAGAGTGTGTTGTTCTTCACTTTTGCACCACAACCCTTAACCATACACCCCCATCATTGAACTAAGGTTCTTTGAGGACATTTTTGGAGGTTAAAAAAGCTGATTCTTGGCTGAGAAATCTGCTGGTTTTGTAGTGTTTCAAGGGTAACCTCTTTTCTCTCTTTTAAGCTTTATTTTGGTTGCTCTCTTGGTCTCATTTGCATGCTTATTTAGGCCTCTCTTTCAACTGGAAAAAGTTTTGTATTTGAGTGTTTTTTATGTTTGTTTAAGGCCTCTCGGGTGTTGAGGGTCTTCTACCCTCTTGCATGCCTTGTTTGGCCTTGTTTTGTGCCATGGTTTAAGGCCTTTGAGCTAGTCCTTGTTTGGTCTTTCAAGGGTAACCTCTTTTCTCTCTTTTAAGCTTTATTTTGGTTGCTCTCTTGGTCTCATTTGCATGCTTATTTAGGCCT